AAAATTGCAATGCCACCTCAAATAACTCATGTCTATATGACTCAGTTCAGGAATATTAATAAAATCCACACATCCAGAGCCTGTGCTGATTAGACTTTAGGAGATACTGGATTCTGAGCAATAACCTACCAAGTTTACCATAACTATTCTGTACCTAGTGTCATTTGAGTGGGGTAAATATAACTTGTCGACTCTTGAAAAACCCCTAAATCTTAGAAATATGCTATTTTGAACTGTGGATTTGCTTTGGCTTTCTTAACCAGCCTTGAGTACAAAAGCTTAAGGATAACAATGTATCGTTCTTAAACCAGAAATAGTAGTTGATATATGATTTCCTTTAAAAATGCAAACGCTAACATACATGTATTTCATGGGCATCAAAAATAAACATAATAATTATCTATAAATATGTCAAAATCCAGATTAATCTTGTAATTTAGTGGGAAAAAATTATATACACAGATCAATCTACAGGACTACAACTAGCAACAAGTATTACGAGTAATTTGCATTTTTTGTCAGAAAACCAATACCCTTCTTTTACCCACTCTAAATCAGAAGTGGCTTTATATCAAGGTACTGGAGCTTACGAGAGCTAAAACATGTTTTCCTCTGTCTTATCCTTGTGTTTCATCGTGAAAGGGTTATTTCTCCCAGGAACATATGAACAGCTGCTGGCTCTTTCCTCCATGATTTCACATGACACATTTCTCACTGGAGCTCTCAGCAATTTATTCTTAATGCCTTACTGCTTTGACTAAGTTTTTTTTTACAAGTTTAGTGTTGTATATATAAAAATTAGATATGATGAGCAGGCAAAAAATCCCTTTAATTCAACAGACTGCATGAAATGCATTTATGTCTGACGATGCTAAAGCCATGGCTGAGTTTTGGTGCAAGGAGAGCATTTATTTATTTCATTTTTTAAAGGTGCAATACGTGCCAGACACAGGGTTCATGTAGAGACTAGTGATTTTAAAAGTGCCATTCAGTTTTCCACCTCCATCAGATCAGGTCAAGAATCTTGGAGAATTTATCTCAAAGAGCCAGGAAAGAGGTCACCCCATGGGGGAAAGAAAGCCCTTAAGAAAGATTGCTACACAACTGCACCACTGTGTCAGAGCACACTGCTGCTAACAGAGGCCATTAGCCAGGGTTTGCTTAAATTAGTATGGCTAAAAAACAAGGGGATAAAATTCAATCACTGACACAGTACCCTGATTTAACTTTCATGGGTTTCTGACTCTAAAAAACATCGTGTTCAGGTTTTTTCATCCTAAAATTAAAATTACATCAATGCATTACAGCTTCAACTTTGAGGACTCTGAGCTGTCACAGCCAAGACAAGAAAGGAACTCCCAGGAGGCCATTCAACCCTTACTTGTTCATTCAGAACATGAACACTAAATCTCATTGATCTTCTGATCACTACAAATTATTGGTAAGCTCTGCATTAAACCAGACTGCTGTAAATTGGAGTTGACAGTATTATCACTGAAAGAAATGCATGAACTCTTGTGTTTGCCAAAGTGTGACCTCCTGGACTAGTGGTGTAGCACTGTATCACAGCAAGGACTGAGATTTCTAATCCAACTGCCTTTCTCAAGCAAATTATTTCAATCACACTATTAACTTTGCTTAAGAATATTTCTTCAAGCTAGACATGCACTGTGACTTAACAAATAAAAAACCCAAAAGGATATTGGTGCAACATTCTCATCTTCAGCTGCAGGTTCACAAGACTCACCTGCATTAGGACACTAATGCCCTTCCAGACAGCCTTCTTTCAGTGAAACCATCCTCAGCATTCTCACAGTAGTTTGCATGGCAGCAGGACAAAAATTTGAAAGAATGAACCCAGAAATTAAATGTGGGTGTTAACACCAGAGAAGAAACTCTACTAACAAGGTTAGCAACAAGCATTTTCATATGAGGCAAAGAGATTACAGAACATAACTGGCAACTGATTTGGGAAGCTGGCATGATTGCTGGGTTTGCTAACCAACTCTGTATGAAGACCTTTGGTTTTTGTTTTGGGGTTGTTTTTTGTATTCTTGAAGATGACACATGCATATTGTTCCTTAGTCAGGGTCTTTGCCATCACCTCAATGGTAAAGAATTACTGATGAAAGTTAAGAAACAAAGGAGACAAAAGGAAAGAGTTACTTAATCCTTTGAAGGTTATTTGTTTACATGAACCAATGGTGACATTTAATGTGGGGCAAAAAATTATAAACAAAGAAAATTGCTTTGACAACCAAAGCTTTTATAGCAATGTGGGAACTGGCATATCATGTCTGAAAGGCAGGCAGGTACCTGGGAAGAAACTGAGGACACCTAGAGGAGTTCCAATTGCAGAAATTTGCCAGTTTTGTATATTATTTTCCTCTTAAAACAGCTAATGGAAATGATGTGGCATACTTACATACAAACATGTTCATATGATCAGTGACATGTTTATGTTACATTATCTTATAATCAAAATAGTTTACTTGAGTTTGAAAAGCCAGAAGAAATTCTCTTGACAAGTAGCCTCAAGAAATATTTACAAAAGAACTGAAGAATATTGTCTTTCATTTATAATTAAGGGATAGACCCAATAAATGCCTTGGGAGTCTGAAAATTGGCACTGCAATACCTAGTTATCTTAGGCACCTGTGTTACAAAGTAGAGCCGGGAACCTTGCCCTGGCCACACCTCCCTCCCTTCCTGAAGGATACCCTGAGCATAGCCTACTACTAATCCCAAATGACACCCAGTGGCACTTGTGCAAAAATTATTCATCTTTTTGGGCCACAAACAGAGCAGTCAGGAAAGAGGACATGAATCTGCAGGCACAGAGTAAGAGGCAAGGTCTTATCTTCTGGCTCCTGCTGATTTGGGTTAGACTAAAAACCCCCCTGGTTTAATAACCTGTTTCCTGCTAGGTCCAATAGGCCATAATTAGAGGAATATATAAGAAATGAGATGAGAATAAAGTGATCCTTCCTGGCCATACAGTGTTGATTGCCCCAAATAAAAAGGGAAAGGGCTTTCTGAGTCAAAGGTTGCAACCATGGCAACTTTTAACAGCCAAAGTACTCTTCATGAATTCTTCATTAATCCCATTATTTTGGCTCTCAGACCATACTATATCACCAAGTTCCACAATTTCATCTGTGCACAGTAACTTTTTTTAAATTTGGTTGTCTCTCCATTCTTCAAGCATGAATAGTGGACAGTAACCATTTCCCCCTTCCATGTTTTTTTGTAGGAACAATCTTGAGCACAGTAGCAGTTCCTTAACTCTTTATTACCCTTCTCTAGTTTGTGTTACTTCTCTTTTGAAGTAGGGAGACGAAAGGTGAGTGCAGCATTCCAGATATGATGCATTGCAGATTTATACAGTGGAATAACAAGGGTTTTTGTTTTGCTCTTCACTCCCAGCTGAATATTTCATAATGTTCTTCTTTTTAAGCTTTTCTGAGCAGTACGATCAGTTCTTGGGGGGAAGGGGGAAGCCCAAAATTCCCTTTTCTGTGCTCTCTTTGCCACACCCCCCCTTTACATTCAGAAAACAGTGCTAGAATGAAAAAAAAAAAATAAATCGAATATTATCGTCATCCTCAAGTCCAAAAACTCGTTACTCAAATAATTAGCCCCCAAAGTCAGGAAAGCAAGTAGTTCTGATAATTCCTCTTTGTCAAACTAAGGAGCAATTTAAAGTGATAGTCAGATATTGTCTGATAGAGCACTTTTATGTAGTAAATGAAAACTCAACGTTCAATTTCCTGAGGAAAACAAAACATGGGGAGGTGACCCAACTTCCACTTCTGCAGCTCCCCAGCAGCCCATCCAGCAAAAGACCTAAAGGACAACACAAAGTTACTCCACATTTTCAGTGACACTGGGTCAAAAAACTTCAGAAAATACCCAGTTTAGATACTTCCCTGATTTGAAAAGAATAATTTTTAAAAAAAACCCTCCTCCTTGTTGAAACTCTGCAGATCAATCTTGGGATTTGGGTTACAAGAACAAGTTTTTAGAAATACCAAGGTTACATCAGGCAGCTTGACTGATTCCTTTAAGATGCTACAGGGGAAAGTCAAGCTTGAGCTCGACTCACACTTGCACCTACAGTCAGGAAGCCATTTGGAGCACAACAACTATCGACTCGGCACGTTTCTGGACAATGCCGCGTATATGCCACATGCGTCAGTAGATGGCACTCTCTATATTTACTATCTGTGTTTTGCACACTTGTCGAAAAATGCTTCTCACAGAACAGCAGTAGTAGAACAAAGGTCCTTAGACAGCTTCCCCTAGAGGGGAGCTCTGTGCTTTACCTACTCTTTAGTGCAGATTTCAGTTTTTCCTGGGCTCACAACTGGTCAAGTTTGTTGATTAGGACCCGTAAACCCATGGGAACATGAACTGCACATATGATCTGTACTTTATGCACTTAATGGACAATCCACTCTCCCATCCACAGTGTAATAAGCCTCAAAACTGGCCCTTTCTACAAAGGCCAAAAAAGGTTCAGCATTAACAAAGCACCTGCATATGGCACCAAAATGAGGTCTATGTTAAAACAGAGCCCTCTTCGTTTACCCGGTCAGCTCACCATCCATTTAGAGTCCTATCAACTTCATTTAGTTGTTTGTCCTTTGTATTTGAACAGCCAGCAGAGTCACGGGAAGGCAGACCAAGTGCCTCCTCTGTGCACAACATGTACACTAAGTTCCTTTAAGTTAAAATTACTAAAGTTTTATTTACAAAAAGAACAATAACTAGTTTGAGGTAAAAGCTAACAGTTTCACATGATGAACTACAATCCAAAACCAGTTCAGAAGATATCTTGAGCTGACTGCTTGCCAGGACGCCTGGGGAAGGGAGGCAGGTACAGATTCCCCATGCACCACCACCCTGCTGTGCAGAGCACTACTCTTAAGATCTGGTCAGGACTGCAGGTATCACACTGTTGAAAGAGTGCGAGCACTTGGTTTCTATCAAAGCCCACCTCATGCAGCAAGCTAAGACTCATGAATACTAATCAAATCTAAACCCTTGTTTAGCCTCAGAGATCAGATGAGATAACAAAGGAAGATGAGAATAAAACACATTTCTTTTTTATTGTGCACTATTACAGTAAGCCCAATGGTATGAACACTTAACACCAGTATAGTCCTTTAATACTTCCTTTTTTGAAAACGTTTCTAAACTATAATAATATATTATATTTAATAAATACAATTACTACCAACATTTAACTGATTCTTTATTAGAATCAATTATATTTCTGAAACAATCAAGCATCCTACAATTAAAAATAATTGTTTCATTAGCACACCCCTACTAGACAATTACACAAATGCATTATTTATGTAATTAGATACATTTACAGTTCATTATTCCACTTTTTATTCTATTGTTGCAAAGCTACACATGTAAAGCCTTATTTCATAATCTTCCTTGCTTTCTATTGACGTGGAGATTGCATTTAATTTATTTACTCAATTTCAACTTAAAAATCAAAACATGAAAGAGATTCAATCCCTACAAAAACAATAATTAAAACTCATTTATTTGTCATATGGGTGAAAAGTAAAGGTAACAAAGTATTTTCTAGGGAAAACCACAGAAAAAAACAGCTGTACAAACCAGATTTTTAGAGGTTTCAGAAATACAAATTAAAATTTCTACATGCCAGGCTCTTAAATGAGAATTTGAGGGTGAGCATGAAAAAGAAGTTAGTGAAAAATTACTGTCATTAGAACTGCTTCCAAGACCATGTAATTGTCTATTATGGCATCAAAACCAGTTCAGAAGTTTTGACAGTCATGACCATGAATTAAGGACCTGATTTTCAGATGTTCCAGTTCTCCACATATTTTACCACCCTCACTTACGGCTGTGATTGTCTAGGCTTGCTAAGAAAACACAATAAAATCTACCAACCAAACACCACCAAAACACCACTGCCACACCTGGTCAGACCAAAGAAGAAAGGACAGATGTGTGAGAACTCAAAGGGGCACCTCTGGCCTGAGAAACAGAGGACAAGGCATGCTGAAAGCTCACCAAGCAAGGCATGGTGGCCTGTCTGCTAACTGATGAGAATACTGCAATAATTCAGAAGAGAAAACAAGTGAATATAGAAAAATGCAAAGACTTTTCCCCTCTATCAGCACACTAACAATGGCCTCACAGACTCCAGAAAACAAGTCTGTCAGACCTGTTCCCATAGGGCTCTGAAACAATGGCTATTAAGGCCTCCCTTCTGATCCCTCTGGTCTAAATATGGGGTGGCTGCCACACAATTTCAAACCTGGGACTCCTGAAGCAGTGACCAAATGAAAAACCCAAGCAAAAAAAGTCTGCAAACTTCTACGCTTAAGTTGCAGCAAAACTCATTTTTCAACAGCATTACACTTTACTTTCACTTACTTCATACAAATTTTTGTAATATTTAGATCATTGCTTGTTGTACACACATTTACTTTTTTTTTAAGATTAGAAGAGTGAGTTCATCTAGCTGTTGCTGGTTTTAGCTTTCTTAATGAAAGCTACATTATAAAGCTTACAGGGTTAATGGAGAAAAAATTACTTTTTAGGTAGAGTTCCCAGGCAAAGCTCTTCTCCCATCTTCCATGGCCCTGGTGCATTTCTCAAAGGAGCTCAAAGAGGCTTCCACTCTCATTCACTGAACAAATGAGGACAGAGCAGAAGGATAAGACGTTCAATAATTGCTTATGCTTGCATTCTTTAAAGTTAGATACTGGGAATGGCAGGGAGTGTAAGGAAATAAGTGACTGTTGCTCCATCCATTGACACAGTTAAAGATGTAGCACCACTGCAGTTACCTCAGGTGCCATCACAAGTGCTTCTTTCTAACTTTTAAGATGCTTCCTTCAAGCCTGGGTGAAAGATCTAGAACTTCGGTGTCCTGTGTGTTTCTTGTTTTATGACACAAGTTGGCTGGCCATAGTCAGAAGCAGACACTTGGAGAAAAAGAGCAGCAGAACAAAAGGTGAAGAGGAAAAAACTGTGATGATAACTTAACTTATTGTTCTTCAGCAGTCTTGGTGTTGAAAGATATGCCCCTACTCAGCCTGACAGCCAAACATGACAACTATCATGGCAATGAGAATCCCACCAACTGTATTTCATTAATAACAATAACAGATCACCTCTCAGATCCTGGGAAATGGATAAGCTACTTGAAAACATTTGACGACTGGCCAGCTACATGCAGCAGAATCTGTCCATATATTACATCCTTATCAGGCACTGCAACTCCAAAATAGTTGAGGTCAGGAAGGCAATTGAGAAAATCCTCAGGCAGAAGATTTCATGGGAAATCAGCTGCCCACATTATAAAGCAATCACCGACCAACAAAAGAAACCCCAAACAAATACTTTTAAATGATCATGCATTCACCCCTGAGTTTTCTGCATTGAATTTGACTGAAATGGACAGTTATACTGGATTTATGTTGATATGCGTCCAGCTTTCCTGATTGATTTGTCTCCTAATTTTTTGCAAGTTTAAAAACTTCTCTTATTTAAAGTTATTAAAGGGTATCAAGCAAAGGAAGAAAACTATCTACCTCACTGCAACCTTGCTTTAAACCTAGTGTTTATACTGAGTAGAAAATCTTAAGCTCCACTGTGGTTCAGAGTTACACAGCTCCAATGAAATTAAAACACACTGGTCTACCTCGCAGTCCAATGTTATTCCTCATTGCATCTGGCCTCACTTACAAAACACTTCAAACTTCATTTGCAAAGAAGCATGGCTGCCATCAAAGTCATTAAGTCTTAAAATCAGAAGAAAGTTCTTCCAAGCGTGTTTATTTAATCCAAAACATTAACATGCTGACAGCTGTTGAGCTGCTTCATTTAGCTGTCACAACAGACCACGGAGCACCATAGTGAAATGGACACTTCTGTGTATGACATCTGCCACTCTTCTATTAACTGCTGCTTCACCACAAACATTTTACTGAATAATTGATTTGGCTAGGTGTATGCAACAGAGTATCTTTTTTTTATGCATTAAAACATCTGAGGTTTTGCACTACAAGGTTCTGCCTAAAGTTATTAAGTCCAAATAGAAGATTTTTAAACTGCCATTTTTTGGCTATGACATGAGAAGGACGCCCATAGAGAGGTAACATGCCTCATCTGCTTAGGAAAGCATACCTACTGTAACAGAAGTTGAAAAGTGTTACTAAAAATGTTCACATTGAAGGTTTTAATAGAAATAAAAATTCTTAGGAAAGCTTCATCCTGACAGTGCTGTTCTTGAATCCAAAGTCTCTGCAACTCAGTGGGAAACGCAGCTCATACAAAAGCAATTTATATTGTGCCACAGCAGAGGTAGAATAGGGTAGCTTTAATACCAAGAGGGGAAAAATCATCACAGTAGACACCTTTCCAAAATTTAATAAAGAGAAATGTAGAGTACTTGTGACTCTCAGAAGTCTGTAAGAATGCTTGAGAATCAACAGTTCTCAAAAACAGGCTTTAAGTCTGGAATTCTCCTACTATCAAAAACCTGAAGTCTGGGTTTGGAACTGACTGAAATTATTATGACAAAGTCTCCTTGAACCAAATTTGCGAAAACTGCAAGGTAAATCACAATGCCACTGAAATACTCACAAGTAGTATCTGCAAACCATAAGACTGCATAGCGAGAAATAGCCTTTTTCTTTCACCTGGAGATGGCAAAAAAAAAAAGGGTTCTGTGTTTTTTCCCAGCTTTGTAGAAAGTATAACTGTCTCCCTAGATTTAGTTGAGTATCTGAAATTAAAGTATTGCCCTTTAAAGACAAAAATACAATAGGTTGAAGGAATAAGTTCTCTGTTATTGTCATTTGTTATGCAATGGAGATGTGAAATACTGGTTCTGGCCTTATCCAAATGCCTGTCATTGGTCTCCAAGATAACAACCTTGCTTGGAAACAGAAACCTTTATACCTTTTACAGAAATGTTTAAATCCAAAATGAAATGAAAAACAATGAAAAGCATTCTTTCACAAGAAAGCAAAATATACATAGCTGGCAATATCTCTGGAGGGCAATCCTCAAACACTGCTACATGATACCCCAAAGATGCAGCACCTGATTAGACTACTGGAATTGTATCCTTTGAGTTTGCAATCAGCTCAGATGGTAATTCCAAAATGGGAACTCTGCAGAATATGATTTACTGTTATAAGATGGGAGGAAAAAAAGACAAAAAAATAATGAAGGCTGGGATTGCTGACTTGTACATCCAACAAATGACAACTTTTTTGCTCATTTTGGAGATGTTCAACGTGCCACTGGACCTGAGCAATCTCATCTACCTTTGAAGCTGGATCTGGTCTGGGTGGGAGGTTAGGGCAGATGACCTCCAGAGCTCCCTTCTGAGGAGCATATCACAACAGGTACCAGAGCTTGAGTTCTCCAAATAGGGAAGTAATTTGAGTTACAATAATACTTAAGTCTTATCGAAGTGCTGCTCTAGATCTAGAGTCATGCATCCTTTTAAATAATTTATGAGAAATAAGCATAGCAATACTGGGATCAACGCACTCCTGCATGTAGGTAGATTGGACTATTCCTTGATTACTGACAGCTTCCCACTACAATATGAATATTTTCACCCTTTTTCATAGGCTGAGATGATTGCCTAAGTTTACTCTAGTATCTAGAAACAAGTACTTTCACAGGGCAATTCATCAGCATCCTAAGACAGATGGGATGGTTTGCTCTGTCCAACTGGCCCTTCCTCTCCAATGACTACAGAAGGTAGAGATGACTACTTTAGTCCAGAAGTCTGGCTTTTAGACAGATCAAATTCAACTACACAAATCCTTTAAGTTACTGGCCAGGGAGGAACCAGTAACTACTCACTGGGATAAGGTTTTCCATCCCTCTCGTTTACACAGCTCTGAAGGTGGCAAGAGAAACATAAGTCCAGCCCAAGAGCCATAACTAGTCTCTTCATTATCCAAAGGAGGAAGGAAGAAAGATGACTGTTGTGGATTCAACTCCTGAAGTGCTAAGGGTGAGTACATTATAAGGCCAAACCATTCATAACTACAATATGCACATCTTCCTTATGTGCCTTGAAAGTGATTTTCAGGGTTAAATTCACCAGTGATACTAGTAGAAGCAACCATGAGCATACCCTTGATATCTCCTTAGACTGTTAGTCCTTGTTATTCTTTAATTTCAATTTTCCTCAGAAGAATTGCAGCAGAGATATGTTTGGTGCATTATGTTTATCAATTATATTACCACTGCAATGTTTTATCTTAACAATTTAATGCAAAACCGAATTACAGTGACTTAGAATGAACTTTGAAAATCTTCCTAAGCAATTTATAAGGGGAAGCTCCAGAAGAAAAAAAAAAATTAGGTTTGTTTCTTAATTTACTGCAGAAAGGCAGTGCAGGTGTTGCACAAATCTCTGTATCTACCAACATAAGTGAAACCCCTCTTATTTTAGTGTTGTGATATGGTTTGAAGCTGGCTCCCTGCCAAGTCTCCAAACCTTACCACAAGACTCTCCGCCTCCCAAACCAAGGGAGAAAAGAAAAAAAAAAACAAGAGAATCGAAACGAGAGAGAGGCAGTTAAAGCAATATATATAAATATATTTACACTTATATTACAGTTATATACAATTGAAAATACATATACAATTTCAAAAGGGAAAGGGAAGGGGGAAGGGAAAAAAGGAACACAAACAAAATAAAATATACACGATCAATAGCCCAAGATCTAGCAACTAAAAGAATTAGCAAAAGAATATCTTACTACTCTCCTTGGGACAACGGAAAGTTGCGCTGGAATGACCGCCGGCAACCTCCGTCTCCCAAGGTTGGCAAGGCCTTACCAGGCCTCACTGTCCAACCTGACAGACTCAACAGCAGGGAAACCCACACCTCCAAAGTCGCCGGAAGGAAAGAGGGTGAAGGCCTTTCCTCCTTTCTTCTTATACCCCGGCTTACGTAAAAATTGTAGGGAATACCGGGTAAATTTGGGCACTTCCCTGGTTACAAACTGGTCACCAAGGAAGGCCTAGACTGAACTACCACATGCTGTTATATCATCTGCTTTACTACAGTCTTACTACACTTGTTACTGCCGCTCAGGGACATTACAGGCCTAAGTTAAACACAGCATGGCAGGCTGCCTGATGCAAAGTGGACATCTTATCTTTCTTAACCCTACCCTTCCCATAAATCCACACCCATTTCAATGAACAAAACCACTGTTTCATGTGCATTGATGAAAACTCTTCAGTCAGCATGGAAATAATTCTAGTTTTATACAGGAACACATTAGGGTAGAATCTGTTCCAATGTTTGAATTTCAAAGATTCACAAAGCTGAGCTCTGCATTCACACATTTTCAAGGCTCTTCCTAGAGCGGGGGTTTTCAGCAGCTGCACAGTGCTGCAAGTTGGCGTAAGTTCTTGTTATACTGCCATGGGCTAAATTCAAAATCCTGGTCTAACACTGATGGCAAACTACAATTAGTACTGTTCCTACATTAAAAAAAAAAGAAGTAATTCATGGAATCCATCATTTTCATAGCCACATAAAATTTTACCAGTAAAATGTTAAGCTTTTCTGACTTCTGTTCACTCCTGCTAATTTCTTTCTCTGGATTTTGTATGAACTGCTGCATTTTACAAAAAGGAAAAAAAACAGCCAGAAAAATAAATTAGTGGGGACAAAACTTTCATAATTTCCAATTCCTCTACCCATTCATGGAAATGTCAAACAAAATATACAGTCTATCATTCCAAATGACAACTAAGGTTCATGTAATTAAATATTCTGTCCTGGACATAAGCTATCACCAGACATTCAGAGAACAATACAACGAATCTATAAATTGTAAATATATGTTTTAGTCGTTTGTCTCCTGACATAAGAGAAGGAATTTATCCAATGCAAATGTTCCTGTTATTCCTACAAAAAATTAATACACTTCTGACCCCTGCTTCAATATCTTCCTGCAATGAGTTACATTACTAATATAAATATATTAAAAAAATAAATCACAGCAGTATAATATTTTATCTTATTTTTCTAAATTTGCCTCAGGTTATCTTGAGTACTCTCTAAATTCTTGGTAATTTGCCAAATAATCTTACACTTCACCACAACAGTGAAGCTAAAGTATTTTCAAAAGAAAAGAGTTTACACTGTAAAAGCCTTTTAAGTGTTGCTTGAGTGTCTCTTAATAATTGAGGTGAAGTTCCTTATCATGTAATGCATTCTAGGTCTAAATATGTTCTTCTATGCTTGGAAATTCTTTTCCAAGATTACAAAGGAACATTCAGGACATAGTCTAATGATATATCATTTTAAGTCCTCTATGTCCTTCTTCACTGATACAGTCAGATCTTCTTTTCCAGTTTCTTGTTTCTTCTTGGAAATAAATACAGGTAGGGTTCAGCATAACACGGCTGCGTGTTTGGAGGAGGAAAGGTGGGAAATTCATTAGTTTGCAACTAACACTAACTTATTATTAGTTTCCATAGCCTGATGTGTTAGAGCAATAAATGGAAGAAATTCCTGAGGGGACATAAAGAACAATGAATAAATGCTATAATGCACAGAAGTGCAGTGACCACCCTAGTCAGCTATTTGTTCAGTGTTCTACCTGCAGCTGTGAGCCATGCCCAGCAATATCAACACCTTTCCCGTAGCCCTGAATTTAGTTGAAAGAATACATCTACATTTGCCCTCCAATAAAGGCTTGGAAGGAGACATCTGATTCAATGATACCTGCCGGCATAAGGAATTAAGAAGGAGAGCTGAAGAATATGGTCAAGAAGACCAAGAAGATGTGATCAAGAAGATCTGTGATCAAGAAGATGCCGAAGGACACAAAGGCCATTATAACAAACCACTTGAACAGCTATACAGGACCCAGCTGTAAAGATTAACCCAACAACTACATAGGAAAGGAGCTGGTTGCTAGTATCATCTGAAGGCCAGGCAATGTTACAACCAGAAGTCATGAGTTTAAGAGCAAGTACTCTATCCTAGAGAAAGGTGGGACTGAACCCTATGAATGTATCTGACCTTTCATCCTTGAGATCAGGCATTAATGCCATTCTCAATGCACAAAAAACCCAGTAAAATAAGAGTTGGAGCATGGGAGAGAACTAATAACTGAGGACACAAATGCTGCCCATTTCCATGTAGAAGGACAGAGGTGTTGTAAGAGACTTGCCTTGCTAAATCATGACTTCCCTGACTTCCTCATTGACCTCAAACACAGGAAAGCAGCTTACCAACTAGGTCAGATCACTAAAGAAGAGCATAAAAGAATGGCGCAAGCAGCTGGAGCACAAGGAAAGATGTCAAGACACAAAACATGATCATAAGAAACAAAGGAACCCTATGATCACAGCTGAGCAGAGACCAGGTCAGGCATCCTTCTAAAGCTGATCTGCCCATAGCCTGCCGTTAAAGTCAGTGCTCCAGAACACCAAAGTACTTACAATATCTAAACATGAAGTAGAAGAATAGATTTTTTTTAAAGAGGAAAGTCTCAGGTTGGTCAAATAAGACAGATATAAAAAGCTTTGAAAACAAAGTTACTTTCTCCCTACCATATGTTTACATTTTTCCTTTTTAGTTTTGTTCTAATCCAGCAGCCACTATGTCCCTCCTAGATGTATAAACACTCCAGTTTGCTTCTGGTCCCTGTGTCTCTATTACCTGCCTGTCTCCCAAGGCCCTCTCTCCTCATTTGATCTGTTTCAAAACCAAGATGCCAGTCTACTTTCCAGAAACGTGTCACTCGTGAGCATGCTCTCAGGAAAGGACCAACCTCCCTCTCCAAAGATTTCCATATAGTTCCAAGTTCAAGCAACCTCAAGAAGAGAACTATGCAAGCTATTAAACACAACATAAAGTATCTATGCAGTAAGCTGTGAACAAATAAAAAAAAGGCAGATATCAGCTTTTACAACTAGAAAGACAACTATTCAGAAAGAATGTAGAGAAGACACAGAGAAAGCCAGAGGGCTTAACGACTTCTTGCATTAGTCTACACGAAGAAGATGTATTGGTACCAAGCAGAGTTACAGCAACAACAATCAGAGCTCAAATAGAACAGAGATTATTAATTACATTTTTCAAATTTAGTTGGCCTGACAAATATCAGTGAAGATATATAAAAAATAGTTGAACTGACATGAGAACTGATAGCACCTCTGTGATATCTCATGGAAGACAGGTGAAAGGGCAAAGTGTATTGCCTGCACTTAGAATAGCAGGAAAGAGGAGCTGAGAAATCATAGACAACTCAAGGTGGACTTCAGATTCAAGAACATTTCTGGATGAACCATTGTGTGCAGCTGTATGGTAACACAGACAGAAGTGACAACCAATATGAATTTGTTAAGAACAAACTGACAGAACAAACCAATTTCTTCCTGTGTGTGGCTAAAAGGCCTTTTTAGTAGAAGAGGAGTGATTGTCATACATCTTGACTTCAGTAAGTCACGTTGAAATCTGAAAACAGAAATTAGATAATTGTACCCAAAGAGGACCAATATTTCACTGTCAAATAGAAAGACGTATTGCATGGTGCTTCAAAGGGTCTGTCCGGGGCTGGCCTTTTTCAGCTTTTCTCTTAACAACCTAGATGATAGATAGAAAAAAAGATTCCTGACAGTAAGAGAGATTGCCAGTATGTTGGAGGACTGGCAAAGGATTCAAATGTTTTAACAAGCTGAAGAAACAGTGATTATTCAATCACAAATATAAGACAAAAATAAGCTAGTTAGTAACAGTTCTGTTAAAAGAAGGGTATGGGGGTGTCACCTGTGGGTTATTTCTAATGAATCACAAGCATAACACTGAACAATGATTTTGAATATTTAAGGAATATGTGCATTAACAGGAGACATTTGAAAGAAGATCAACAAGAACTATTAGAGGTGAGAAATCTAAGGCACAAAAGAGGGAAAAAAAGGAAGAAAATAATCTGTTCTCCATACCAGTGATGGACAGGACAAGTAATAATGGGCTCAAATGCCAACCAGAAAGATCCAGAGCACATTTTAGGAAAACCACTCATTTGG